TTACCCCCTCATGAAATGGGGCTGTGGTTATTATAGTACATGAATATTGCATCGGCAATATGGCGTGGATGTGCGTGCAAGTTTCGGTCCAAACAAGCTTTACCAGTATCAGTATCAGTGTATTTCAGGGAAAATGGGTGTGTACCTTTAAAACCCCTATTGATTACATGCAGAGGAAGTATATGTAGAAAATGGGAAGGAAATAACATAAAAGAAATACAAGGAGAATAACAAAAACTGTACAAATGGACACAGAACTTCAAGCGTTCACAGCATTTAAAGACATATGATTTCGGTCTGTTGATTAAATACAACAGATGTTTGAAGCATACTTAAGCTACAGGAGAGGAAGTAAAATGTTTGTAGTCTACAGGCATCATCGTGAATGCGAGCGGCGGTATGCGACGTGGTTCAAAATTAATAAATTGCATAAACATATGTTACTTGGATATCGGTATTAGCATCGTCATGACAATAAACTGTCGCCGTTGTAGTGGCTGTAATGCGGCGTTATTGTGGTGCGCACACCAATGTTGATTTAGCTTCCGTTTAAAAGTGTCTGCGGATCCCAACTTATTAACATTCTCGGGCAAACCATTCCATGCTGCAACCACTCTGTCGGAGAAGAACTTTCGTAGGTCTAACCGGGCAGCGTAAGCTTGTGTCAGGTCCCCACTTAGCTGACTGTAACTCAAAGGAAAAAAGGTCAAGATTAGCTAATCGTGTGTCGTAGGGTAGTGACCACTGCCCAGATACAAGGTTCGTTGCTTGCCGTTGAACTTTTGCGAGTATGCAAGGTCTTTAGCGGTCCAGGGTCTCCATGCTTAGATAGAAAACTCCAGGTGCGGTCGCACAAAAGTCCTAAAGACTTTGGCGAAGCAGTCTTCATCAAAGGAAGAGAACGTCCGTTTGACGAGGTATAGAATGGACATCGCCGACTTGACAACTTTTGAGCACTGCAGCGAAGGCTCAAGCGAGGTTGTGATGCATACACCCAAACCCTTCTGTGTGTCGATTACTTGCAGTGGTTTGCCAGCCAGACGGTAGACCATGCGGTTGATAGAACTGGTTCTGCCGACGCGTAGGAACTTACGCTTTTTTCCATTGAACGGTAGAAAACAGTCTTTTGACCATTGCTCGAGGCCGTCTAGATTTGTCTGCAGTCGCGTCTCGTCAACGTCGTTTCGTATGGCACTCCAGATCTTTATGTCATCAGAAAACATTGTGACAGTGTAGGGCCAAGAACCGAGCCTTGAGGAACACGAATCCTAACGGCAACTTCGACAGATTGCTAGTCACGGACGTAGACGGCTTGAGATCGGCCAAGTAAAAAAATTCTAATCCACATCAGAAGCTTACCCCTCACTCCTATACGGCTGAGTTTGCATAGAATGCGGTGGTGAGGCACACTGCGGAAGGCCTTTTTAAAGTCGATATAGACGGCAGGCACCATAACTCCTCTATCAACAGTCCGAGGCCAGTATTCCAGACAGTAGAGCAAGTATGTCACACATAATCTGCCTTTTCGGAATCCATGCTGGGAATCGGAAAGCAGATGCTTTGTTCAGGGAACCGCATTAATTGATGCTTTATCATTTTCTCCATAATCTTTCAGCAAATGGAGGTGAGGCTGTCAGGTCTGTAACTGTTCGCAGAGACCCGATATCCGCCCATGTACAGCGACGTAATCCATGTCGAGATCGAGTCGAGTGGCAGATGTCCAGTCTCGAAGTATGTATGGAAAAGCATGGAGGGTGATTTAACCAATTCAGCGATGAGTTCCTTCAATATCTTCGCCGGAATCTCATCGGGATCTAATGACTTTGATTACCTTAGCCTTGTCAACATCAACAGAAACATAACAAAGTAAAAAATAGTCGTCATTCGTAACTTTACCTCGAAATGGACAAAGGTAGAAAGTGGAGTCCCATGGGATTCAGCAATTCATAGTTTCTGAATTAGTAGTACGTTAAGCAACATTCTGAGCGAGTGGTGAAAAAAAATCGACAAAAAAACTTAAGAATGATTGGTTTAACTTTACAGGAGAAAAAACCCTCGCTAATAATAACACAAAAGAACGGGCGGGACTGGCCTGCATGCGACGGTATATAACGGATTATAATCGGACATCGTCAGGGCAGAAATAAATGCCAGCCTTGATTATAATCGGACATCGTCACGGCAACAATAAATGTCAGCCTTGAGGAGTACGTATGCGGGTTGGACAGGACGGGCCTGCATGTGGTATTGTATACGGGATCCAGAACGGACATCGTCAGGGAAGAATTGATATGCCGGATGAGACTATTCGCAGAAAGAGGCCAGACGAGAGGAACCCAGACGCGATCGGCCACAGTACGCTTCGAGCCCAGCCGAGAAGTGAAAAATGGAGGAACGACTAAGCTACTAGTAGACGGCGAATACTGAGGGTTCCGCCGTGAGCGTCGACAGACCGCATGAGGTCGGAATGCGGTAGATGACATCAAAAACCTCGAAAATCGTCGCTATGGGGGAGGAGTGATAGCAGTGGATTTAGAAACCAATTCAAAACAGGGGTTTCTAATGACATAATTGACGTTTTCCACTTGATTTACCACTAAATCACAGAAGGACCCTTCTCGAATTCAAGAAGCTGAGTGTTCGAGAATGAGACCGTTAAAAGTGCCTTTATGTTTTCCGGTGTAAGATTTTTGCGTAATTTTGACTTTAATACCAGTAACTTAGGTGATGATGTAATTTATGGCGGAAGATTATTCCAAAGGAAAGCATATTTGGAAGCAAAGTAGAGGAAGCGCTTAGACGTAGTAAAAAGAGGCGGTGGCGGAATCACAATGGAGGATTTGCGTGTGGCATGAGACCGATCTCTCGGAATGAGAGTGTCAATGAGCGGAAGATTGGAGCTAGAGTTGATGCGAATAAGGAAGCAAACACCAGCTTCGAGTCTTCTAACCCACAAAAACTTAATGTTCGCCAGCTGACATCTCTGAGTATAAGACGTACCGGGTGCGACTTGAGAGAACAGTTTTCAGGCGAAAACCCTCTGAACATTTTCGATCTTATAGCGGCCACAGACGTTCATTAAACCAAAGAAAGGACAGCAGTATTCGAGGCCTAGAAGAACAAACATTTGATAAAGTCTGAGGTTCATTTCCGGAAAGAAAATATCATGCGATATGAATCCGCATATCTGCGCGGCTTTGGCAGAAATTCTATCTGCATGAGGTAATAGAGCAAGCTTATTTGTATAACGAAGGCCGAAGGTTGGTTCCTGCTGAGGGTAGGATAAAACTGTAAGGGCGAATCGGCAAGTAAGAACGAAGCGCCATTATAACGTGACTGACGATGATAAGTGGTTGCAGACACAAGGCACGACCGAAAATTTGGATGAGACCTGGACGTTACAGAAAACAGAACCGAATCCTAGTGAGTGTTAGCGGTGAGCGAAATGGAGGCGGCTTGGAGCGCGTTCGTTAGTATGACCCCGACTGCCTAACGGAAAGGTTGGTTAGGGGTGATATCGCGTTTTACGAAGGGCACGATATACGGACGGAAAAAACTTGAAGTTTCTGCTTATAGATAGCGGAAGGCGAAACCACGCGCGGAGAGTAAAACGCATCTTGATGTGCCGCTTTGGCGGCGGCGCCATAAATGCCCAATGTTCTACTTTCACATTCGTGAGGAAAGCTGTCTTTAACGTTTTGTGCAGTAAACGGTAGTCGAATGCCTATTTGGGACCTGACGCTTGAACAGTGTTCCAGCTAATTCCTGGTGTGTTGAAATCGTCCATGACTGCAATATAAGGTTGACCGGGAAATCGCTCCGATTGTTCCAACAGATGAGTGTCGGCGATGTGGCCTGTCCAAGGTCGTCGGTAAATAATGAGGACATCGGGATACGGTTACCCAACGGCCTTGATGGTCAACCAAATAGCTGCCGTGCCTCACACAAACTTTATGATCTTTCCCGACACCACCAGGTCTTTTTTCATCTAAAAACTCATGACACCGCCCTCTATAGACTCTCACAAGAGGAGCGAAGTCAACAGGAATTAAACAGGACAAAACAGGAATTCAGATAACATGTTTGGATCACCCCACCGAGGCCTGACTGAGAAGCTGATAGAAGCAAGAAGATACTAAAGCGTGATGACAGTGCAAACTTTGTAGATGTGCGTGCGAATAGGCCGCCGGTATAAAACGCTTATTAACCTGAAGATTGTGGGTTTAACGGTCTCACTTTGTACTAAATAGCACATAATGGGAAGGAAATGCAGTAAAATGAAAGACTGTGATGTTTCTCGGGGATGGAGGGTAAGAGAATTATGAAACTAGAATCAGGAAATCATCGAAAGTCTATAGTCAAGGGAGCGCAATGGAAGTCAGGGTGGGATGGTAAGCATAACTACAATTTCTGCCCTAATCTGGCGGCCACCAGGGCATTGGTATGTAGCATGATTGTGAGGAATCTGCGTATACAGGTCCATGTAAGTGGTCCGCTAGTCAGACCGTTTAGCATGGTAAACTCTCGCATATACGATCAAATGAAGCTAAGATGTTTAATTCACTCAGTAAAAAATTTCTCGGCGGAAAAGGCCGGACGGTCAAGACAGGACGTAAGTGGTAACGGCGTTTGCGTGCAATTCAGGCTGCTTCCCAGTAACGACAACGCGAATTCAATACTCACACTAGACGATATTCAAAAGTACGAGCTAGAATTCAGAGCAACAGATTGTTTTCGAGTTAGTTCAACATTTTCCCTCCTACAGAAATTGCTGAAAGGCAAAAGTCGTTATCAATCGATTATTCCCACGGACTTCTAAG